GAGTCTCTTCTGACATCCATCTTGATCTTTTCCTTCTTTCTTGTCTTCTTAATGACTTTTTGCTCTCTTCATGTATGATATTCTTGATGTCATCCCACAATAAATTGTTCTCTCAGCACTGCTTTTGCCGTGTCCCAAAGATTTTGGTATGTTGTGTTTTCATTAGAGTTTATTTCTAGGAACTTTCTGAATTAACATTTTATTTCTTCTTTTACCCAGTCACTTTTCAGCAGGGTGTTATTCAGTTTCCATGTATTCGACTTTATTTCCTTGGTCTTCTTATTATTGATTTCTAGTTTTATAGCATTGTGGTCTGAAAAGATGTTTTGTAATATTTTGATGTTTGTAAATTTATGGAGGCTAGCTTTGTGACCTAACACATAGTCAATTCTGTAACATGTTCCATGTACACTGGAGGAGAATGTATGTTGTGCTGTTGTTAGTTTGAATGCTCTGTACACATCTATGAGGTCAAATGGGTTGATTGTGTCATTTAGTTCCTCTGTAACTTTGTCGAGTGTCTTTCTAGTTGTTCTGTCCCTTTTCAAAAATGGCATATTAAAATTTCTCACTATAATTGTAGATTTATCTATTTCTTTCTTCAATTCTAGTAAGGTGCGCTTCATATATCTTGGTGCTCTTTCATTGGGAGCATAGATATTTATTATGGTTATGTCATCTTGCTCAATCAACCCTTTGATCATGAGATAGTACCCTTCTTTCTCTCTGATGCTGGTTTTTGTCTTAAAGTTTACTTTCTTGGAGATTAGTATTGCCACTCCTGCTTGTTTATTGTTGCAGTTAACCTTGGTATAATTTTTCCATCCTTTAATTTTTAGTCTGTTTTTGTCTTTGTGTGTAAGGTGTGTCTCTTGCAGGCAGTACATTGAAGGGTCTTGTTTTCTTATCCATTCTGCTACTCTCTGTCTCTTCACTGGTGCATTCAGTCCATTGACATTAAATATAATTATCAATAGGTATGAATTAATTGTTACCATTATGTTAATTTTGTGGTAGTGCTGTTTGTTCCTTTGTTCTGCATGCCTTCTTGTGCTGAATTTGTGGTTTTTTGTGCTATTTCTTGTTGGTTTCTTCTTAGACTTCATGTTTGCTTGTTCTGCTTGGAAGTTCATTTTCATGGTAAGTTGTGAAGTATTAACTTTCTTTGGGGTTATCTTATAGTCTATTAACTTTTCTATCCATTTAAGAGTATTTATTGTATCCTGTAATCTACCTGACATCCTCACCACCTGGGTCTCTGTTGCTACGTTTATCCCTTCTTTGACATTGCTATAACTTTGATCTTCAGTTGACCTCCCAGATCCTTTGAATTCATTGTGGTAGTTTTGTTATGTTCTGCACTCTGCTGTTGACTGAGATCAAGGTGGTTTTGCCATGCCTGTCAATCTCTGGTTGTTGTCTGTTCCTGTTGGTTTTCAGTCCGAAGAATTCCCTTTATGATGTTTTGAAGTACTGATTGGTTTTGATAAAATCTCTTAGATTCTGTTTATCCTGCAATGTTTTGATTGTACCATCATATTTGATTGATAGTTTTGCTGCATAGATGATTCTTGGTTGGTAGTTTTTTTTTCTTTTAGGGTTTTGTATGTCTCCCCGTTGCTTTCTTGTCTGCATGGCTTATGCTGAATAGAGCTTAATCTGATTTGCTTGCCTTTGTGAGTGATACTTCTCTTCTCCCTGGCCACTTTTAGTATTCTATTCTTGTCTTTGATTTTGGAGAGCTTGATTATTATATGTCTTGGTGACTTTTTGGGGGGTGTATCCTTCCTGGGGTACGTTTGGCTTCTTGAATATTTATCTTATAATCTTTCAAGATGTTAGGGAAATTTTCTTCCAGAAACTTTTCAACTATCTCCTCTGTGGACTTCTCTGATTATTCCTGTTCCAGAATGCCAATAATTCTTAAGTTGTTCCTCTTCATGTTATCCAGCATAAATCATAGACTCTCTTCAGATTTTTTAATCTTTTTTTCAGCTTGCTCTCTATCTTAGCAGTATTGAGAAATTTGTCTTCCAGCTTGCTAGTTCTGGTTTCCATCTCTTCTATTCTGTTCCTTTACCCTTTCAGTGTATTGCCCAATTCTAATATTTTATTATTAATCATCTGGACCTCTTTTTGTAGGTTTT